GCTCCTGTACAAAATCCTTTGCTTTAGGGGAAGTTCTCTCGCGGCATGTCTCATCACCAATAATCATTTGCTGATATGTCATGAAGCTCATGGGATTTTACGGATGGATGCCTCTTGCCTTTCTCTCATTCAGACAAGATGTACTTGGGGTCTTCAAGCACTATTTTATCTTTTTGATACTGTAATATTGACGAACATTTTGGTTTTCCTCTCCTTACTTTTCTATTTCTTGATCGCTTTCATTTCCCAACATGTTTCTGAAGTTTATCTTTCTGTAACCCAAATGAAAGCCCTGGTGGGAAAAGGGAAGCAACTTCTGCATCTATGCACCAGTTTGGTAGCAGGGAGTCAACTTGACTTTCACTTCCTATTGAGAAACTTGAGAGGCAGGCTGGCAGATAACCAAACTGTAACTAGATAAGGGAGGAGTCCATGCCTAGGTATTATTGACAACACTGGTGTCACTAAAGACAGATATGTGGAAGGTGGTGGAAAGTTGCAGAAAAGGTGGTCAGCGCCTTCTGTTGGCAACTGAATACCACTTCTTTGAGCGCTCATCACTGTGCCTGTTTGGGAGGGGCAGTGTCTGAACCTCAGTCGCTTCATCTTGAGAAAATGTTTTCTGTATCCACAGAGAATTTATTCCTTCATTCATGCTGAGCATGTTAAAGATACCATATTGCCTGCTACTTGATTTCTCTTCAAGTTTCTTGGCTCAGAAAAGGGCTTCACTGGGTTGCTCTAGACAGTGTGATAAGCCCACAGCCATATATGAAAATCTTCATTTCACTACCTCTTTTCTACCCTATCTTCCACTTTAAGATTATTTTGTCTTTTCCCTCTTGTCTTTTTGTTCTTCTATTCCAGCTACCATTACTTTTCAGTGAGGCCAGACTCTCCTTTGATTCATATCACATGGCATCTCTGTATGAGATTCTACTGCTTGCAAAGACCAGATTTCGTCTATAACAATGTGACTTCCCCTAATTGTTCATTCATTAGATGTCTTTCTCCTGGGACACTGGAGAGATGCTCTGTGGGTAGGCACACTGAGTGTCTTTATTGTTATGGGGAGTCTCACATCCTGAGAAATGTGCAAGTTTCACATTTTGTCTACTAAGGAATGTGAGGCGAGATTGCTGATTTACCTTCTGGGTATATCTAAGCGGCAAACTCCCGACCTTGGGAAAAAATAGATTAATGGAGCAAAGACTTTCCTGACACAAGAATTCCTCCTCAGGAATGTTATCCTCATTCATGATGGTAGGAAAAAAATCCCTGTGAATATACTCCCAGATAGTCTATTTCTGCTTTCTCAAAGACCTGAGCATATTCTTTAGCTTGCTCACTGGCACTGAGAGATACTGCTTTGAGGAAGTCTTCTTGAATAACTTCACAAGTTTGAGTATCAATAACCAGTCCTTCGAACAGACAATTTGAACCCTGAAGACCTTCTGCAACCTTTATACTTTGCTGGGTCCATACAAACTCTTGCTCTCATAGCCAGGACTTTGGATGGAAGCAGCTTGTTCGTATTATTCCACAGATGTATGTATCATTGTCAGGAAGGAGTCTGTGAGACTGCTTTACCTGAATAAATGGGTGACATTTTCAGCCAAGTGTTATGCAAAGTATTTTTCTCTAATAACGTTTCCATTCCAACTAGTCTGCGTTACCTAAGGCTTCTTTGGATTTTGGGACATAAATGAGTAGAAACTGCCTTTAGCAACCTTGTCGTCAGCTTCAAAGACAACTATACGTAGGGTGCCGATGGGATAAAAGCATTATTTGAGCTCAGATTCCTGAGATGTGTGTGTACAAGATTTGACATAATATTTTTAAAGAATTCTGTTAACTAATAGGTGTTTTATGGGTTTATTTCAG